CGCCCGCCCTACCCCTCGCCTCGCAGCGCTCGCGGAGCCGCCGAGGCGGGGCCCGCCGCGCCCCCGGGACCGCCTGCGTCTGCTCATCTGCATCCAGTCCCAGTGCCAGCGCAACGCGTGAGTGGGCCCAGCCCCAGCCCCGACCCCGCGCCGCGGCCCCCCTTGGTCTCCCCCAACTCGGGGTTCAATTAAACAACCCGGGCTCCTCCAGGCTTCCCCCATCCCGCCCTCGCCCAGGCCTGCCTCTCCGGGCGTGACAGACCCTTTTCCTCCATCCCCCCAGCCACTGTGGCCTGGGTGTCCCCGACCCCTCTTCCCGGTCTTCCCGTGTATTCCTCTCCCATTAGGCCCTCCTTTCCAGCAGCCAGGGGCAGTTCATCCCGAGCCATTCCCTGCCCAGAATCCCCAACTCCCCCCCAGGCCGCTGGAGGCCTGGCCCTTCCCAGCCTCCCGGGTCCTTCCTGTCTCCTGTGGCATGCCGGGACTCTCCTCTCGTCCAGGGGCCTGACGCACGTGTCACCTCCCCAGAGGCCTTTCCTGACCACTCTCTGGAGGCCCCTCCCCAGTCACTCTCCCACCCTTGGCATGTGCACTTTCTCCCCCATGATCAGATGATCACCCACTGCTGGTGTCCCCACCCAGAGTGCACCATCTGGTCCCCAGGCACAGGGCAGGTGCTCTGCAAATAGTTGGAGAGGGTGAATGAATGGATGAAGCCCAACACTTCCTAGTCTGGCTTTGAAACCCTGGATATACAGGCCTGAGGCTGCTGCCCACTCCCACCTCCATCTGCACCAGCCAATGTCCTGTTTCCCATCAGAGCCATGCCTCTGCTGCCCCTTTTTGCGCTCCGGCCTTGCCTTTCCCTGTATTCGAAGCATGCCTTTTGCCCAGGTCTTTCCTCCTCTTGGGGACCCAGTTCCAACACCACCTCCACCAAAAGATCTAGCCAGGACCAGGCACTTTGCTCAGCGTTGCAGGATGTGACTGCATTGTGGTTAATGTTGGTGGGGTCACGGGGGTGGGCTCACCCTACTTCTGTCTCGGCCATAGCTCCCTGGAAGCTGTCATGGGCCTGGAGAGCAGCAGCGAGCTCTTCACCATCTCTGTAAATGGTGTCCTGTATCTGCAGGTGCGTGTGTCAGGCTCCGGCATGGAGGGGCACCTCCTGGGCTTGGTCACGGGGAGCAGGGGAGCGAGAGGCACTGGTGGGTGCTCAAGATCACTGGGTACAGCCCTCTCAGACTCCAGGCTTGGTTGAGGTTCCAAGACATGCCCGAGTACTCACGCTGGTCCAGGCAGAGCCAGGCTTCGTGTCCAGATTTTTTTCCTCCAAACTCCAGCTGTAACCCCCAGGGATGCCTGTCTTCTTTAGGAGCTGCTCTGCTCTGCAGTCTCCAATTTGCAGACTTCTCAAGCATCCCACACTGAGGATGGGTGGCGAGGGGATGGTGGAGGGAGGGAGTGGAGGTCAGCTCTGTGCCCCAGGCTGACATCATGACACCTGGGACCATTAAAACCGTGGAAAGGCAGAGATGTAACTGTTTCCGACACAAAACCCTGGGAGACGATCTTTCTGCCACTAAGAGGATTTTGGCAGGTGGTAGATAAATTGATGTAAAGGTGAGATTTACTAAAAAAGAAAAAAACTAAGTGCAAATGTGTGGAATAACAGCTCCTGTTTCGTTCTCACGGCGCTTTGAGGTAGGTGCTGTTATTCGTCCAGTTTGCTCAAGTTCAGAGCCAGGACTGGAGGCCAGATTGTCTGGCTTGAGTCAGCTCTGGTTGCTGCAGGGCAGTTAGAGGTCTGGCCTGGGGTGCCACACAGAGTGTTCAGTCAGCCCAAATGACAAGATCTGGATGGAGCATGTGCCAAGATGCAGATCTCGATGCAGGTCTGGGTTAATCCCAGACTCTGCATTTCTGGAGGTACCCTGAGGGCTATGACACTGCTGGTGCATTTGGAGCAGCCAGGCCAGAGTACTGGTCTCACAGACGACTCTTGCCAGACAGCTCTGGGGCCAGGCCTATGGAGGTCACCATCCCACCTGTCTTAGAGCCATCACAGGCTCCAAGAGAAGCCTGCAGCAGAGAAACCTGTTGGGCCTTTAAACCCCATTCTGGCCCAGCAGGGGCTTGCTCCCCCACAAGTGAACTGTAGGGTGCTGGGGAAAAAGCACTGGAAGAAGAGTTGAAGGTGCTGGGTTTCAGTTCAAGGCCTACGAAGCCCTTGCCCTGCGACCTCAGGCAAGCCATGTTCTTCTCTGGTCTGGACCCTTCTGTGGGCAGAGTGGGCAGGAGGGAGTGTGGCCAACTGGCCCCTAGGGCGCATCTGCAGGCTGTAAGGGCCTGCTGTTGCGAGGCCAGCCTGTGCCTGATGGGCGTCCTTCCCTGCAGGCAGGGCAGTACACCTCCGTCTTCTTGGACAACGCCAGTGGCTCCTCTCTCACCGTGCGCAGTGGCTCCCACTTCAGTGCTGTCCTTCTGGGTGTGTGAGCGGCTGCCGCAGGCCCTTCCTCTTGCTGGGCAAGTGGAGTGGGGGTCTGAACGGTGTCTAGAGATGTTGGAGTGGCAGTGGCCACATGCAGGAGGAAGCCCACGTGGTCCTCTGCCAACCCTGGCCACCTCAGTTCAGCCCAGAGACTGCCACTACAGGCAGGCCTATGGAGGTGACGTGCAAGCAGGTGGTCTCTGAACCGGGTGTTATTTTGGGATGCCACCTTCTAGAAGGGGAAAAGTCTACAGGCTGTTATCCTGGGAACGTTCAACATACCCAGGAGCACTGCTTTTTCCCCAGCTGTGGACTCAGGCTCCATCCCGGCCTGTTGGGCAGCTTGCCTGAATGGCAGTTTCTTTCTGGTGGCCCAGCCCATCTTTTCCATGTTAGCCTTCTCATGGACTGCAGGGAGCTCTGGCAGAGGACCCTCCCTGGAGGAGCGTCATCCTGCACAGGGCTGAGGAGCCGCCAAGGGGAAGCGAGTTGTGTGTCCTCACTGCGCAGAGGGGAGCCTGGGCCGGCTTGGCCAACAGCCTTGCCCACCACTCCCCCTTGTTTCCATCTGGGCTCCCTGATCCTGCCTGCCGCCCTGCCAACTATGCCTCCACCTGCCTGTGGACCTCAGGGTGCTGGTTGGCCTGCAGTGACTATAGAACCTGAGACTCTCGCCATGGACCCTTAGCACAGCAGCCTCAGGGGCCAGAAGGACGCTGGACAGAGGCTTATGGGGGGACATACAGTCTGGGCCCAGCTTCCACTTCTGATGTATGCAAGATCAACTCACAAGTTCATCTTGCAAATTGTCTTTCCAAATGGGATCTACTCTCTTCTCCTCTGCAAGTCCTTTCACAGACGAGGCTCTCTTTTACCCTCAAGAGGCCAACAAGATCATTTTCTCTATTCCGTCTGAGGCTCTGACTCCCTGCTAGGATCCCCTCACCAGAGGAAAGATCTAGAATGCCTTTGCAGATTAGCAACGGCTTAGCCAGCTGACCCATCACCTGAATAAGTGACGCAGAGGCTTCCCCCAGGATGATAGCTCCTGCTTCATGGGGTGGCCCAAACTAGCAGGGCCCAGTGGCTCTGGGATGATCTTTCAAAGCATCTTTCCACTTGGGTGGCAATGTGGATCTAAGCACAGACAGATGGTGCCAAGAAACAGTGGCCTTGGGAAAGCTAGTTTCAAGCCTGCCATGCTCCTGTGGTACTGATGGGACTTGGGGGTTGGGAAGAATGTTCCCTTGAGGAGACAAAAGGGCTGCAGCTTGCCTATATGTAGCCTCCCACATTTCCCCCAAAGTGCAGGACTGCCCCCAGAGTAAGTAATGAAGAGGACAAGGCCCTCGGCAGCTACCTCCAGGGCCCCCACTGCCTGCTGAAGAAACATTAACCCCAGCTATTCCCCCACACACAATGGGCTACAAGGGACCTGTTGCCACAGGACCTCCTTGGGACCACGCTGGCCTGAGGGTGCTCAGGAATGGGAGAGAAGGGGATAATGGCCTCAGGATGAGGTGACCACAGCCAGGCCTGAATGATCCCCAGGTCTGGCTTCCATCCCCACACTCCAGCATCAATCTCCCCCAAGGCAGGGCCCCCGAGCACGATAATACACAAACCAACCACTCTGTGCCCCTTGGGCACAGGCCTGGCCTGATTCTCAGTAGGGCTTGTACCCACCCTACCAGGAAGGACAGGGCTGGCTGGGCCCTGTGTCCCACACGCTTTGATAAGGGGAGGCATGGCCACACCTTTCTCTGGATTTCACTTTGTATGCAATGGGCACAAATATTTTACAGAAGTTATCTTTTACCCTTGAAAAAGCCACATAGCCACATCTCTTTCATTTTCTCAATGTGTGTTCTACGGCAATTTATTAAAGAAGTATTTATTGTATAATATTGCCAGGTGAAATATATTTATGTAACTGACTTTATGGAGTGGTTCAAGTATTTAAGAATTGTGTTGTGAGATTACACAAAATTATAAAAACAAAGGGCTTAAGACATAGAATCTGTATCCCTTAGCCTGGGTTCACTAAGGCTGGTGGGCAAGGAGTGAACTCTGGAAGGTAAGGTGTAGAGATGGCCTCCAGTGTATGGGTAGGGGGGCTCTATGTACCCCCTTGAACGTGGCTGGGGAGTGGCCTGCCAGGGAAGCCATAATGCCAACCCCCTCTCAGATGAGAGGCAGTGGCACTTAAGGCCATATGAGTCACAGACTTCAGTGTCCAGACTGACACCTGGTTTGCTATAGGAAGATATTTGCCAAATAAATTGTTACTATTTCCTGATTATGAGGCACTGAGATTCTTTCCTCCAGTGATGCCACACTGTATACCATGTCCCCTCAAGCAGAGATGGATACCTGGCTCTTAACACTCCCTTAACACTCCCAACACCTCAGAAGTTTTTAAAAATTCAGTTTTTATTTATGGCTTCCATACAACAGATCCCCAGAAGTAATCTAAGGTTTGCATGAAATGTTCACCACTGAGGTACTTGTAGCCTAGACACCAAATTCCACTAACTGAACTGACTGGGTGATAAGACCATGTGTGTTGGGTGCGGGCCAGTGAACATTACAAAACAGATTCTGAAAAGGCAAAATTTTAGACTCTTACATCATCCTGAATCAAACATTTACACAAAATGATCTAAGAGCTGCTTTACTAAAAAATAATTATAGTAATAATGAATACATGATTTATATATAAACAAGTGCTTAAAAACTATTTTAGAGTTTGTTCTGAATAGGCTGATCATATCTTTTTATCCTTTTACGTCTTTCACAGAAGGGTTCCCCTTCCCCTTTTAGGTGTTACTGTGAAGACAGACCTTGGTCCAGCACAGAGCCAACTGCATGCACACTCCTGAGACAGGAAGCTGAGTTTCAGAGGCCATACTGAGCAGCAGCCTGACTGCTAAAATCAGGAAGGTGCACATTTTACACCCAGGGCATCCAGATTTGAGACTTTTATTAAACCTAGTGCTCCACAGAATCCTTCACCCAGATTGCATTTGTTACCAGTGGAAGCTGAATTCTGTAGTTTCTGGAGGTTCTCTATGATCTATTTCCTGGCTAAGCCTGGGCTCCCACTATGTCATGTTTTGTAATACTTTTTTTTGCATGGAAACTTAAAGAAGCCAGGGGGTTCCAAAAGCCCTGGTTCTGGGCCTAGCCTTTTCTCTAACCAGTCATCACTCAGTCTCCTCACTACAAAATGTCACTTCCCCAACCAAGGTCCTCATGAGGGTGAACGTACGGTAAGAGGCCTGTGAACTACAAAACCTTACACAACCAGCAGCCTGCAGGTCATTATGAGCCAGTCCAAGATGCCTATAATGGTTTTAACAAGGAAAGACCCAGAGCATATTTAAAAGCAAACACAAATAACCTCTGAAGGGTCAAGAGGTTGCTTAAAGTATAATAAGAGAACTCAAGAGACTAAGAAAAAAAAAAAAAAGAAACCTTTATTTACAACCATGTGAGTTCCACAGGAGTACACAAAACACATAGAATGTGCACACACACAAAATGAACCTTTTAAGTCAATACCATGCGTGCTCCTGACCACCACCATCTCTCAGTGCCCTATCCGCACCACCATCACAGTGACATTGTCTGCCGAGCCCCGCTGCACTGCCTTGTTAGCCAGCCTGTTGCAGGCTGCTTCATAGCGGGCGTCTATGGCGGGCTTCCCTTCCCGGCTCTGGATCTTCTCATCCTACCAGACAGGAAAGGGGTACAAGTGAAGAGGGTGATCCTGCACCCTGTCACTCTCCCAAGACACATGCCAGGAGGAAGAACTGCTCCAGTGTCTATCAGGGCTGGCAGGACAAACTGACCGGCAGTCCTCTGGTTGGAATTCACATTAAAAAAGAGCACGAGGGTTGCCCAACAACAGGGGGTTACGGGGTCTCAGGACTTCCATTCTCTAAGAACTACGGTACAGCTGAAACAACTGGCAACCCCTCGTGAGATTTCTCACCTCGAGGCAGGACAAGATGAAGTTCACGGCTTCTTCTGGGGTAAAGACCTTGAAGAGCCCATCACAGGCCAGCAAAATGAACCTACAACCCCAGCAAGAAATACAATAGGTTTTAGCAGCAAACTATAAAAATAAAGTGGCTTAAAGATGGAGGTAAAATAAATACCTGTCCAACTACTCAGAGGCTAAAACCAGCATAACTTCTAGCAGGCAAATGTTAAAATTACTTAAAAATATTTGTAGGTGTGATGTTACACATCGAAACTGGGACTATCCTTCTCTTCACTAATAAATATAATTATGAATTACCTCAAACATTAGGTGCTGTACTTTCTTAGACTAACTCAAGAAAAATCACCAAATAAAAACATCAGTTGTCATGGTCAATGTACAATGACTTCGTATCACCACAGGCCTTGCATCATTTCCCAAAGACACGCAGCCTAGAGTGAGTTTGGACCTGAGTGAAACCACCTGGGGTACGCACTGCACGCCTGAGGACTGAGTCCACAAGCCTATAGCGGGCACCGTCCACTTTCCCTCGTCTGAAAATAGCATGCTCTCCCTTTCAGAATCCACCCCTCTGCTAGACTGCCCCACGGAAGTCAATGGGACAGCTCTAGCTCTCCTGGCACCATGGACAGAACATGTCCCCCACAGCTGTAAGGTAGAAGAACCACCTTTCTTTCCTCACTGTAATAACACCCATGTCTTTGTTTTCCTCTTTTGACTGGGCATTCATTCAACCAGTACTGACTGAGCACATGGCCTGTGCTTGGGACACAGTGGGGACAAGTCTGAGCAGGCTCATGCCCCTTCTAGTGTTGTGAGAGTCAAACTCTGGGTAACCCCACAGACCTGTGACAACACCAGGTAGAAGCTGTGAAAGCAGAGCTGAGAGTACTAGGCAGATGGGGCCCGGCTGAGTCTGAGGGCAGAGAAGACTTTCCTGAGGCACCACTTGGAAACTCAGGAGGGGGCTGTTGGAAACATGTTCCAAGGCCCAAGGGTGGGCAAGAACATGGCACGCTGAAGGCAGGTGTGGAGAACAGGGCGAGTGGTTTGAGGAAAGGCCAAGAATGCATGCACCAAGCACGTGCTCTTCAGACCTGCACCTGTAAAGGACTGCACCCTGCTGCAGTGTCGCGGACAATCTCTCACTTCCCTCAGCAACTCAGTCTTAGGAATCCTGTTTTCCCTAGCTTCCCATCTCCTTCCTGCTACCGCCTTTCACACGGGGCTACTGCACCTGTTCCTAATGGGCCTCCCTGGTTCTGTAATGCCGTCTTTACCATGCGCTGTTCAGGGCTTCCCCTGGGTGAGGCATGGGGCCTTGTCTTCAGGCACACAAAAAGGGGGATGGACAGCTAAACGGGCAGTTTCTCACCCTACCCTGACTCTGCTTAAAAACTTCCTATTATTCTCCATCAGTTAAATTTGAAGTCCTCAACACAGAACTGAGGGCCCTTCACACTGTCCCCAAAGCACCTCTAGCCTTCAAGTCCCTCACTGCCCATTCTTGGCCCTGCCTGGCTGCGCTTTCACAGTGTCACACTTTAATGCTTTAGTGTGTGTTCTCTCTGCCAGGAAAGCCCTTCTCCTTTCTCGAACAGGGACAGCCCCTTCCTCCACAGTCAAAGCTGCCCAGAGCACCCACATGCCTGGAATACGCTGGACTGCAACCACCCATCCCCATGTGTGCTCCCTACCACTGTGGTCCTCACTACAACAGAGCCACATTCTATCTGTCCCTGCACTCCAGGAACTAGCACAGTGCCTAAGACACTGCTACCCGCCCTCCCACCTTCCTCCCAGCAAGGCTCAACACAAATTAGAAGTCAGGAAGAGAAATAAAGCCACGTGTATGCACCCCAGTGCCTTTGGTAAGGTCATTTTACCTGTCATTGGGGGTCAATTGGCAGCGTCTGATATCTGGCACAGAAGTGACCCCACAGCGCTTGTACTGCCCATCCCCAATGGAGCGTGACACCTCCAGCACGCCCAAGACACGCCCATCCCTAAAATGAGGGGAAAAACATTTTCAGGCTCCATCTGGCAGATTATGGGTCCACAGTACTTAGAATTTGATCTTAAAAGCAGAAAATGGGGGAGTGAAAGATATAGACTAGAATCCACATTATCAACCAGTACTGATGTTTCTTTTCTTTCTTTTTTTTTTTAAAAGATGACCGGTAAGGGGATCTTAACCCTTGATTGGTGTTGTCAGCACCATACTCCCCCGAGTGAGCCACAGGCCGGCCCTCAGTACTGACATTTCTTGATCTCAAATAATATGCAGAGATGTCTAAATCATTAACATTCCTCCTGTCCTCAGGGACTCCACTGCACACTGGGGGGAACAGCACCCCCTGTGGTGGCCAAGTGGCAGTGGTCAGCCTAACCCTTGACTGGGCTCAGCAGTGGTACTTGTCACCACATTGCCCAGACCCACACCCCAGAGTCAGACTTGACTGGACTGGGTGGGAGCCTGGGATTGACTGTGTATCTTAAAGCTCCTCAGGTGTTTCAAGCATGCACCAGGGGCCGGCCTGTGGCTCACTTGGGAGAGTGTGGTGCTGATAACACCAAGGCCGCGGGTTCAGATTCTATATACAGATGGCCAGTTGGCTCACTTGGGAGAGCATGGCGCTGACAACACCAAGTCAAGGGTTAGGATCCCCTTACCAGTCATCTTTTAAAAAAAAGAAAAAAAAAAAAGCATGCACCAGGATTAAGAATAGCTGGAACAGATGGATGTTCTGTATTTCAATCTAATTAGATTTGGAAAGTACCTGAAAGTGACTATTCCCAAATTCTGAAATATACTGTCTTTACAACAGGTACAGGTATGATTTAACATTAATATAAACAGTAGTACTCTGCACAGTATTATATGAAGAGGTGAGGGGATACAGAGAGATGGGGAGGTGACCTATACATGGGAAGAGACACCTAAGGCAGAGTTCTAATACCAAGGAGAAACCGGTTTTGGGGGCCCACTGCCCCCAAGAACAATTCTGCTCTGGGCTCTACCACTTCCTCACTGTATGACCTCAAGCAACTCCAACCTCCCTGGTTCTTGAGCACTCAGCAAACACCAAAGCTGTGTGTGGCGGTTTCACACCACTACGGGGCTCGCGAATCATGGAACATGCAGCTCTGGAGATGCTGTGCAGATGGACACATACAACAGAAAATTCTGCTTTGGTATGGGCTGCTGTCCTGGAGGCAGAGTTCCGCCTGTCCCCTGGCCCTTCACTGTGCCCACAGCCACCCACTCAGTGCAGTTCTCTGTAACAAAGATGTGGGTTATTTTCCCCCAGACTTTTGTTGTTTTTTTTTAAAGGTGACTGGTAAGGGGTTCTTAATCCCCGACTTGGTGTTGTCAGCACCACACTCTCCCAAGTGAGCCATGGGCCGGCCATTCTCCAAAGACCTCTGCTAGCACCTGTCTGCTTTGTCCTGTTTACTACGACTCTAATACATACTCTATACCTATCCATTTCTCAGAATGCCTATACTACCCGGGACACAACAGAAAGCCGTTTGCCCCCAACAAACTGCTGACAATTCATTCTCCTTCCCCACCCTCACACTGCCCCCCCAGGATTACATGCATAGGAGCCAGTGGCTTCTCAAGTCTCAACCTAATCTGCCTGCCCTTTGCTACCGGCCCTCATTAGGACTGGCAACTTGCCCTTAAGCACTTCCAAATTCTGTTTCAGGCTGCTTTACTTCTCTCCTGTTTTCCATCTGCCAATCAATCAGAGAACTGCTTTCCTATTAGTGGGCAAGCTGTTCAACAGAGTCCTCAGATCTTAGCTATTTTTGCTGTTATTTTCTGTTCTTTCTTCACAATCAAAGAGAAAGATACAGAGACAGAGACTTTCTACTACTTGTGGGTTTTAGGCTAATATGGCTGCTGAGAAAGCTGGAGACTACTTTGACTTCAGCTCTTCTAGCATGTGAGTAAAAGCAGGGACACAGTTGGTCCTGCTAAATAGACTATCCACAACTGATGTCTGCAGAGCTAAGGCTGGGAGACAGAAGCTCCATCTCCTGACCATCCAAAGAATGGAAGATGCCCAAACCCAGTGTAACAATATGATGAGTGCTACAGAGATAACCAAAGGCACTGACATTTAAAGCTACATGTTTACTAACTGTGAGTTTCCCCTCATCTGCTCAGTAGCCTTCCTTATAAAATAAAAATATAACTGTCTTCACCTTCTCAGAGGAATTCACCACTGCCCAACTATCTTTGGTGTAAGAAAAAAGAAAAATGGGCCGGCCCCGTGGCGCACTTGGGAGAGTGCAGCGCCGCTCCTGCCGCGGGTTCGGATCCTATATAGGAATGGCCGGTGCGTTCACTGGCTGAGCACCGGTCACGAAAAAGACAAAAAAAAAAAAAAAAGAAAAAAGGAAAAACAAAAATATATAGCAGACTGGCTTATTTTTGTAAGAAACACTGGAAAGAATGAAGAAACGGGGTGAGGGGACAGAAATGAAAGCATGACATATCTAAATATATCTTTTTACTCAATTTAGATTTTGAACCATGTAATAAGAGGTTACTCATTTTTTTATTGTGGTAAAATACACATAAAACTTACCATTTTACCCATTTCTCAGTGTACAGTGCAGTGGCATTAGGTATTCACACAGTGGTTCAACTATCACCACTACATATCTCCAGAACTTTCTCATCGTCCCAAACTGAAACTCTGCTCCCATTAAACACTAACTCCTCATAAAACTTACCATTTTACCCATTTCTCAGTGTACAGTGCAGTGGCATTAGGTATTCACACTGTTGTTCAACTATCACCACTACATATCTCCAGAACTTTCTCATCGTCCCAAACTGAAACTCTGCTCCCATTAAACACTAACTCCCCATTCCTCTCCCCCTGGCAGCCACCATTCTACTTTCTGTCTACGAATTTGACTATTCCAGGGACCTCGTATGAGAGGAACCACACAGTTATTTGTCCTTCTGTGTCTGGCTTGTTTCACTTAGCATAATGTCCTCAAGGTTCATCCATGTTGTAGCAAGTGTCAGTATTCCTTTTTTATTTTTTGGCGGCTGGCTGGTCCGGGGAATCAAGCCCTTGATCTTGGTGTTACAAAGCCACACACTAACCAACTGAACAGACTGGCCAGCCCAATACTCCATTTTTTTATGGCTGAATATTCCGTTGTATGGATGTACCACATTTTGCTTATCCGCTCATCTGTCAATGGACATTTGGGGTGCTCCCTCGTTTTGGCCACTGTGAACAATGCTTCTGTGAACATGGGTGCATGAAGCTATTCAAGTTCCTGCTTTTAATTCCTTTGGGTATAATACCCAGAAATGGAATTGTGGATCATACGGTAGTTCCATGTTTAATTTCTGAGCAACCGCCACACTGTTTTCCACAGTGCTGAACCATTTTACACTCCCACCAGCAGTGTACAAGGGTTCCAATTTCTCAATGTAATTTATAAAGAGAAAAAAGCCCTAAAATTGAAAACAAATTGAAACTAATAATCTCAATAACCAAAGTGGTAACATAACCACACTGAAAATAATTATCTCACTTTTCACCTGGTCCACTGATGGTATGTCTTTACTGAGGAATATTCTAAGGACAAGAACAGCAAGGAACCCTTAAATTTCATTGATAGTGGTATTTCTGATAGTATGATTTTGAAGCTATTTTGATGAATATATTAGTGTTATTAGGAACCATGCTTTTCAGCATAAGAGAAAAGAGCTACAAAATACTAAGTCAAAAAAGAGAAAACTGGGCCGGCCCAGTGGCGCACTGCTACAGTGCACCGCTTGGGAGCGCGGCGGCGCTCCCGTCGAGGGTTCGGATCCCACATGCAGACCGGCCGCTCACTGGCTGAGCAAGGTGTGGGCGTGGCACCGAGGGTTGCGATCCCGTTGCCGGTCCCGGTCTGGTGCGGGCGCGACACTGAGGGTTGCGATCCGTTGCCGGTCACAAAAAAAGACAAAAAGGAAAAAAAAAAAGAGAAAACTAACATTAAATTTGAGTAAAAAGTGGCAATCTAAATGTGCGATTTAAAATGTGTTGTGTGTGTCAGTTTCCTAGGTCTGTACGTGAACAGACTTAAAATTAATGACAACACAGTTGAAATGAACATCCCATCATATGAATTTTGGTTCTTAAGATTAATACAGACATATGAAAAGGACACTAGAGCCAGCTGAAGGATCTTCCACGGGCTGTATAGGGATAACGTGAGCAACAGAAAGCACTAATACTCTGACTAGAATTAACTCACCACACTGAATAAATAAAGTCCACTGGCACACAGTAATTCACAGGGCGAGGAAGGAAGGAGAAAAGCAGAGAAAGGAAAAAAACACTAATTCCACAATTGTAAGTGACTATCTTACTTTGCAAATTGGTAAAGGAAAAAAATTAAACGGTTACTCTGTTTTTTTTTTTTTTTTAGAAGAAACTATGTTCATCTCCTAGTGATGAGAGAAAGCCTTTCTTCACAGAATACCTGCTAATGCATGTGGAAGGAATCACTGAACATAAAAATCACCTTTGCCACCACTAATGAAACAGTTCACGCACGGATCATTAAGGGATGCTAAAACCGTCAGGTGAGAGGTCGATAGGAAACAGAATATTCACAAGGTACCAAAGTGCACTCCCCATATTACCTGCTGCTTACACAGGGGAACCATTTGGTTGCTACCACCGTAACCAAGTGCTAGGATTCAGCATCACTAATGATGATCACGTGCTTACCAAAGTGAGGAACTGTCAATATACGGCATCCTGCAGAAAACATCTTTGCTAAAAACATTTAATCTGAATCTAAAGAAGGCTTTACGCCTTACTTCCAGTTTCTAGAAAATATACAGATATGATGCCATGAAAAAACAGGCAAGTGTGGAACGCCGGTGACTCTATACACCTGCTGGCTGGACTAACATGGTTCAAAGCCTGGTAAGAAATGAGTCCAAGGGAAACATGTATGATGACCGGACCCTAGCTTGAAAGAAAATATAAATTTGGAGAGGATATTAGATAACCTAATATAATCTAAGGAAGCATTATTGTCTTAGTGTGAAAATGGTCACTGATAATACTGAGATCGTCCTTATCTTCAGGAGATGCACACTTGTGGTGTTATGTTGTCACGTCTGCAACTTCCAAATAGCTCAGCCTGACACACACATACCCAAAGCAAACATGACAAAATGTTAACTGCTGAATCTAAGTGGTAGTTACTGAAATGTTTGTTTTACTAAAGCTTTTTCTGTATGTTTGAAAAATTTAATAATAAAAGCTGGAGCGGGGAGCCAGCCCTGGCCTCAGGCGGGAGAACAGGTCACAGCAGGGTTCTGCTGCAAAGGGACCAGAGATTCAGTGCCTGTCTCTGACCCTCCTCCCACCTTTCTTCTCTGAAATAAAGGGCTCATCCAAGCCCATACTGTCAAATGGTATCTCTAAGACATCTAAACATGCTCTGAATTAAATGGGGATTAGGAAAAAGGAAGTAACTGCAACACAGCTGGCCTTATTATCAATATCAAAATCTTTTCAAGGAATTCAAGCAAATATAGTCACATCCTCAGGCACTAATTTCCCCAGTAGTGGCCAGGACAGTAGTCACAGTGGCAAAAATTGACCAAACAGCCCAGTCCGTGGTCTGAAACCAGGCCTATTATCCCATTACTGCTCACGTAAACCACACCAACTATGACCAAAATCACCTCTCACTAATCCAGGAGCTTTTGAACAATCTCTAAGAGCTCGGACTCCTCTCCAGAGACCTCCCTCTACTACTGGCTGGGTAGACTCAGGCTGGAAGAATAACAAAGTCTTCCCCAAAAGAACAACAGAAGTGAAACTACATGTTCAAGGACAAATAACTGCCATCTTTCACTGACAGATTACTTTTCTCTTATCCCCAACAAAAAAAATAAAATTTTAATCGTCAAACTATACAATGAGCCAGAAAATACTTCTGGTCAGATTCATACTGCAATGTCCCTGAAGTGGAATTCTCCTAAGTCCTCTTCTAGCTGACATGGAGAGATGGCAGATGATAGACCTGAGTGGACACATGTTCTTCAAATATTTAGGGAGGTGAAATGGAACTGCTGAAGACAGAGCCACAAAAGATGTGGTCCTCTAAGCCACAGAAGTTGTTCTCAGGATGTCCAGAGATAGTAAGCACACACTATGAATACATGCTGTCTTAGCCACTTCAGATTTTCTCTCTGGAGAATTCACCTAAAACTATAACTTATTCAGTATGACAAATGACAGTATTTAAGAAACTTCCTAGGCACAGAGACAGTGTTGCAAACGGTGAAACAAATTTGAGACAGGTTTTGCCCTTATGCGAATTTAATTTCTTTCTTTCTTTCTTTTTTTTTTTTTTTTGTCTTTTTCCGTGTCCAGCAACGGATCGCAACCCTCAGTGTCGCCCCCGCACCGGACCGGGACCGGCAACGGGACCGCAACCCTCGGCGCTGCCCCCGCGCCTCGCTCAGCCAGTGAGTGGGAACCAGTCTGTATGTGGGATCCGAACCCTCGGGCAGGAGCGCCACCGCACTTCCCAAGCGGCGCACTATCCAGTGCGCCACCGGGCCGGCCCTCTTTCTTTCTTTTGTTTTGGCAACTGGCCGGTACAGGGATCCAAACACCTTGCCCTTGGTGTTACAACGTGGTGCTCTAACCAACTGAGCTAACCGGCCAGCCCCCTTATGCAAATTTAGGGAGGCATGTTTCTCATGCACACATTTTGCTTCCACTTGGACATATGTTAAATCTTAAAACAGTCATCCACCCATGTTATCAGTGTCAGACCTAAGACAGGAGTCTCTCCACACTGAAAACCATGCAATACGGAAAGTTCTATTTCTTGAAGAGTTCAGAGCCACTACTACGGTCAACAACCCTCCTTCCCTAGAGCTCTGTCAATTACCTGACGTTTCCTCCAGCCTTCTGTATTCTCATTCGTTCTTCATACTGGGTTGGATTGTGCTCTTTGCTGAGGCTTAAGGCTGCATGTTTTTGACTCTCCTCATTATAACGACATAGGATTGCCTGGGAAGATGGAGAGTATGACAGTTGTATAAAATTCAGTGAGTCCAGTGCATAAAGTTACTAGCTGAAGAGAAAGGTTTTTATTTTATTTACTTATTATTATTACTACTACTATTATTATTATGAAAGGTTAACAGTGAAGTTTCACATTCAGCCTCCTGCTGATAGACACAAGTTCAGATAATCAAGCATCAAAGAAGTGTTGAATATTGAAGAGCAAAGCAGTATTGTAGAAACACCAGTCAGGGAGAAAAGCCCCTGGTTTTGTTCTCAACTCTGCTGCAAACTTTGCTGGATGACCACAGCCAACTGCTCACCCTGGCCACTGTCACATATGTGACATGAACGGAGGCATTCAACAAGTGTCAAGAACCCTTTTGGCCTTGAGTTTACAAGAGGCAAAGACAATGCTGGAGAGGCCCTCCACACCAGCGCCTCTGTGTGTTCTCACCACCACCAGGCTTACTGTGTGCTTTGCAGAGGAAGGTGCTGAGGCCCAGAGGATAAGTAACATGCCGAAAGTCATACAACAGAGCCAGGATTCCAATTTGGGCCAGACTCCAGAGCCTTTGGGGGTTTTTTTTGACCAGTAAGGGGATCGCAACCCTTGGCACGGTGTTGTCTGCACCACACTCAGACAATGAGCGCACCGGCCATCCCTATATAGGATCCAAACCTGTGGCCTCGGCACTACCAGCGCTGCACTCTCCCGAGTGAGCCCCGGGGCCGACCCACCTTTGGGGTTTTTTTTGGCCAATTTTCTTCCTGCTATTTTTGAAGTCACTTGATCTAAACACATATGTACTACAACCAGTCTACTAGAGCATCACCAGAATATAAACCAGGCAGGGACTGTTGTCTGTTATGTTCACTGCTGTACCCCTAGTGCTTGGTATTTATGTGCTGAACAAACACCCCAGAAGCATCAGGGGGTGAGGGAGACCCCCTCTGCTTAAGTGTGGGAAGGGTCACCTTGCTCCTGTGACTGCTGAAGCAACATGGAGGCTGGCTGAAGCAGCAGCAGTAGAATTGAACATGTGTCCTGACATGGAGGAGGGAGAGACTGAAGTCAGACTTACAAAGTGCTGCCATCCAGGCTCTTTGTCATTCCCCACAACTGTCACCAGTAGGAAACAACACCCTGGGCTTTCTCCCTCAGCCAGGTGGACTGGGCCCAGTGAATGAATGGCACCTCACCTAGTACTTTTCTAGCTGTAGCTTTCAAGTTATTCTGAAGTCACAATGATTTTGAGAGGCTGGGGTTGTTACTTTTCATTCATTATAGTCTGAAGTCAGAGAAATGAAATTAAAGAATATTTAAGGTACGTGCATATGATTAAATTCCAAACCACAGAATCACCTACCTGCAGAGTACACACACACAAAAAGAAAGCACGGGGGTAGGGGTGGGGGAAGATCTGGGTTTTAAAACAGAAGTCTGTTACAGGGCATAAGTCTTCCCAGAGAACAAACTGCCGTAGTTTAGCTCCTGTTCCCCTACCTAGAAGTTAAACTCTGCAGCAGAACACCCTGCAGCAACCCCACAAGAGGCACAAGATGTCAACCCAGACCTCATCATTTTAATCTTATTCAGCGAGTACTTGCTAAGGTTTTGTTCCCCATAAAACATGCTTTATCTACACAGGTGGCTCTAGAGCCACATACCCGACTGTCTCCTAGGTTGGCAATGTACAGAATGTTGTCTACAGCCAGGACACACGTGGCAGTGGACCCATCCTTCCAGGCAGGCTTCCTGAGGGAAACAGCAGAAAACAGTCACCACCAATAGGCTAGCACTATGAGACTCATTTCCAGCTAAATGGAAGTATCTTCTACTTTAAAATGAACCGTTTCCTTAATACTTGCTATTTTTTTGTTTTAGATTTAGCTAGTGGTTTTAAGAGCTTACTCAGCACTAGGCACTTTTCAGACAGTGACCGTTAGTATCAAACCACATCAGAAGACCTAAAATGTATTCAGGGAAACAACACATGCAGTCCAATCACACTTCTTCATGGAGTTATACTTACTGGCTCGAAGCTTGTTTAAGGAACTCTTCATCGGTATGCTTAAAAGTGTCCAAAAGGCATCTCTTCACAGTTTTCTCTACACTGATTACATCTCCTATTACAGAAGGGCCAAAAAACAAACAAAAACCAATCTCTCAAGGAGGGAAGATTATCCTCCTCCCACTGTCAATATGTTTTTGTATTTTTTGCACATCAATTGATTTCTAAGCTTGTCTAAGAACAATCTCTATTTCCTTACCTATAAGACAGTGCCATCTTAACTTGGTTTCCCAAGTGTAAAGGCAAGACACTCACTGTACCCAAAGACAATTCACAAGAGGTACCCATCACTTAGAGACGTGAGAAGTACTATCCGAGGCCACCCCTGCACAGCCACTACACCTGGAAGCCTAAGTCCACTCCTCTTAGCTCCTCTTTTAAGAGTCATCAATGATTCTTTGCTAAATCAAAAATGACATATCTGATTTATACAGTTACCCAAATTTAAAAAAAAAAAGTGAATATTAACTGATTTGGTTCTCAGCCTCACCTTTAGGAAATTTCCTGATTAAGTTCTGATGTAAATTCTGTGCAGCGAATTTTGAGGCTCGAATTCCTCCATGTCCATCAAAAACAGCAAAATATGAAACCCGAGTACTGGAAGAATGAATTAGGAGTCAATGAGATTCTCACAGCAAAGATCACACCTCCCTGCTAAAGCTTTTAAATCTCGTCTCAAACAGTGAACATTAATAAGCCAGAAAGTCACACAGGTGAGACACCAGTCACACTGTCACAAATGGAAAAAAGGTGTAACGCTGACTGAGACAAACATTTAAGTAACTTTCATGGCATTTTAAATTAAATGTTAAAAACCCACACTTGTTTCAAAAATCAAGATCTGTTAACTAATTTTTCACTGATGATGAAACTAAACTTCAGAACTTTTTTCTATTTAAATCAGAGTTAGGAATAAAAATTAATACACGGATAGAGTTATTGATCCAAGACAGCCAAAAGTATCTATAAGAGTAGAGAGGAATGGGCCGGCCCGGTGGCACATTGCTACAGTGCGCTGCTTGGGAAGCGCGGCGGCGCTCCCGCCGAGGGTTCGGATCCCACATACAGACCGGCCGCTCACTGGCTGAGCGAGGAGCGGGGGCAACACTGAGGGTTGCGATCCCGTTGCCGGTCCCGGTCCAGTACGGGCGCGACACTGAGGGTTGCGATCCGTTGCCGGTCACGAAAAAAAGACAAAAAGACAAAAAAAAAAAAAAAAAAAAAAAAAAAAAAAAAAAAAAAGAGTAGAGAGGAAGTTCCAGAATTATTACTCAAATAAACTGACTGACATCTGATTTTAAAGCTTGTCTTACCAGTCTTATTCCTACTCCCCTTTTAAGTTCGGCCAGAGATGCACATATATGGAATAAAAGGAATCAAACTGTTTCAAGAGGAAAAGAACAAAAATGCCTACAAGAAATGACATTTAATTTATACAGCTGCTGTTCTTTCAAAATTTTTGGAATCCCTTTTCAATTTAGGACACCATAAGCCATGAGAAAATGAACCTCATCTGGTTGATAATGCAGAACTGTTATCTTACAACCTGGTATTTGCTAGGTATGGCTTAGTGTTGGTTAGGTATGATTTAGTGTTTCCAATTAAATCTACCCCCAAAGGTTCTGCCCTCCAATGCTCACCAGAAGTCCCTTTCCTGACTTTAAAAGCAATTCCAAAGCACACTCCAAGGCACACCACAATCTTGTTGAACAATGGCAGCCTTACAGAGATGAGCGTATGTGCGGCTGCCTCTGCATGTGACCAGCCAGCCATCACCTCATCTTCATGAGGCCTCATCTACCGGACAAAAGCCACTGGCACAAATGGCTCCAACACACTGTATATTATTGACCAACTGCTTCAGTTAATGTATGTCATGTATATACAGTACTACGTAATTCTGGATTTTGGAAATTATGTAATATACATACCGTGTATGAGTAATTATGTAATATATATTATTATATATGTAACATAATGTATGTTAGCATCCAATTTAATATTCTACCATCTGACTGCCTTTTCTCCATGCCTAAAAGCTAATAAAGAAAGCTTCATTTTAGTTTATAAAGTTGCATGAAATTTTTCATTGTCTTTTTTCTCCTTAATGCCATTTCAGCTTTTCTGCTCCCTTTCTGGGCCCTAATTATTTGTACAGGATGAGTATCCCTAATCTAAAAATCTGAAATCCCCCAAAATCCGAAATTTTCTGAGTGTCAACATGACACTCAAAGGAAATGCTCACTGGAGCACTTCAGATTTCAGATTAGGGATGTTCAACAGGTAAGTATAATGCCAATATTCCAAAATCTGAAAAAACCCAAAATCTGAAATATTTCTGGTCCGAAGCATTTCAGATAAGGGATACTCAACCTGTACTAGCTCTCTCTGATTACCATTCACACTTTAGTTAGTGGCTTCCAACTCTACCTTTTAGGTCACAGAATAGAAATACTTTCTGCCAGAAGCTGCTGTTACTGGTGAAGAGTGACACCCCATGAAGACCCACGATGTGGAGAGTCACTTCCTGTTTAGCTGGGTTTCTCACCTGCAGCACTACTGACATTTCGGGCTGGGCCGTTCTTTGTTGTGGGGCTATCCAATGCTTGTAAGATGTTTAGCAGCATCCCTGGCCTCTACGAGATGCCAGTAGCAACCCCCTCCCCCAACTCCAACAACAAAAATATCGCCAGACACTGACAAATGTCCCCTGGAGGGCAAAATCAACCACAGCTGAGAACCACTGATGTAACACTAAGCAACTCAAGTGACATGTCAATCTTTCTCGTCAATACAAATGGCCATAGTCCAAAAATCCAGTCAGTGGAGAATTTAATGCCAACCACTCTTGCTGGACACTCACATGAGGGACGATGGGGGCCTACACTCCTCAGTGATGTCGTTCAGGATGACATGGGCGTCCTGCATCTCCTCCCTCTCACCCTTCCGCTCGGCCACATAGCCTTTCAGACCAAAGATGACCGAAGAGGCTAAGGAAAAAGAGAACAAAAAAGCCAATACAAAACTGTGCCCTCCCCCCAGAAACCCTAGTCCCAGAGCAAATGAGTGGGAACTACGGCTGTTTTGCTCAGCAATGTCCTCATGGTATAAATAAATGAGCCACTCCCCTCAAGGCACCTCCCCCACTGCAGGTCTGTAACTAAACTCAGAGCACTGCTGGTCAAGTTGGGCTCTGAGAGGCTAGACATCAGGGTGGAGACATGAGAGGACAGCCAGCACACACAGAACAGCTCGTCTAAGGAGGCGGAAGTCAGAGCACCAGAGCAAGGCAAGGGCTGCCGCTCATAGAAGTGGGACTCAAACCAGGGGAAGGGGTCATATGCAAATAAAGTCTTGCTGGGAAGGACAAGGACAGGAAAACTACTAGTTTAGAGAAATGCAAGTCAACAGAGTTTGCCCCAAATGCCCTGCTGGACACCCTGAAAATACGTATTTCCATGCTTGAGGCTCGTGGAGAATTTGATCAAATGGTGAGATCAGTTGCTTTTACTTCAACTGAGGAAGAAAAGAATAAAAGAGTCCACTGTTGGTACAAAAACCTATTTATGTTTAATGTCTAGGCTAGTTCAAGCTCATCTTCTGATACCTAGAGTCAGGTAAATTTATGATCTTTCTGAACACTTCTGGAAGACCTATCTCTGGGAAGTGACATGCTAAGCTGAAGACCACGTCTTCTCAGCAGAGCTACGAGCAGGTATTCTTACTACATCCGTGGGCATCCTACGGCATTCATTGAGGTAATTTGTGGCAAAGGACAAAGGAGTCTGGTGCAGTAAATGAAAGTCCACTATTTCTCTTTAGTCGATACTTTTAATTATCTTCCCCACTAACAAAACAAGTTACAACACTAACTACAAATTAACTGCCTTTCTAGTCTTGGGCTCTCTTTTCAGAAGCTGCATCATAGAATTCTATGTGCTAATCTATAGGTTATGAACAGAGATCAGAGAGAGACTGGGTGGTCAATAAATTAACCATTCACTGCAGAAGGCAAAGAAAAAAACTACCTGTATTTTTTAACTCTTGAGGAACAAATGTAGGTTTCCTTTCTGACCAAAGGTAGGGTGAGAGATAGATGTACATGAAAAGTAAAAGGAGAAAGAAAGCAAAGGTAAACTTGGACATCTGTTTGCAAAAAGAGAACCCTACCTATTTTTTAAATACAGATATGAAAAGGAAGTATTATAATTAGAAAGCTGAGATTGCTTTTTGCTCTGGGTTGTTAAAATACGAAGTCTAATACATTTGTTTCCAAACTGTCTGAAAACCTTTACAAACTTTCTTTTCCACAAGCTCTTCACTGCCATTCTTCTCTTCCTCGGAGGTCTTTCTCTTGGCTCCTTTCCCTTCGTTCTTTACCATCTGGGATATGCACGTGGCAAGAGAACCTGGAAATAAAGTATAAGCCAGACAGAAACACAGCCAGATACTGTTAGCAAAAGTCATTAGCAGACTAGTCAGACTAGTCTCCATCCCAGTCCTCAGAGACAGAATGACATTTCAAGCAAGCATTGGCAAATGGAGGCAGGCACAGTAGTTAGGGCTATGACTCCACCCCGGGGGAGGGGAGAGGCAGAGGTGCGGGTGGGGGGACAGCCACAGGCACTGCTGCAAATCCAAGGTGGGAGAGCACAAGTTAAGATTGAGGCTCTGAGGGCCGAGCCTGTGGCATACTCGGGAGAGTGCGGCACTGGGAGCGCAGCAGCGCTCCCGCGGCGGGTTCGGATCCTATATAGGGATGACCGGTGCGCTCACAGCGCTCATTGGCTGAGCGCAGTGCAGCCGGTCTCAAAAAGGACAATAAATAAATAAATAAAAAGATTGAGGCTCTGAGTCAGAAAGACCCTGAAGATACACTTGTGTACCACATAATAGCATTCTGGTCAATGACAGACCACATGTATAACAATGGTCCCGTCGTAACATTATAATGGCTATACCACAGACTAGGTATGTAGTAGGCTACACCATCTAGGTTTGTGTAGATGCGCTCTATCATGTTCACAGGACAACAAAATTGCCTAACAACACATTCTCAAAATGTATCCTTGTTGATGAGCAATATGTTCCTGTATTTGTAAAAGGTTTCTCATTGGTAAAAATACTTGTACATATTTTTGGCCTGTAGCATATACATGTGTTTTATATTCCCAGGCCTTTACTGATAAACAGGGGAGTGTCCAAAACCTGTAAACAAACTGACATGTCCTGAACAAAGTCTAAAAAGTAATCAGTGCCCCAAAAGGCTCAAAATGAGACAAATGTCAGGCTTTAAGAACTGTATGTATCCTCAAAGGCAAAAATGGGGCTGGGGCAGCCATTCCCCCTTGCAGAGGGAGGGATCTTTACTCAAAGCCAGAGCTAAGGGCACTAAACTGTGTATGTGTTTGTAATGAAAAAAGTCTAGGTTCGAAGAGATGTGCCCTTAAGACAAGTTACTTAACCTTCCAACCTCAGTTTCTTCAAATGTAACATGGTGAGAATACTGCCATCTCAGAGGGTTGTTTGCAAATTGATGAGGACAATGTATATAAAGCATATGTCATAGTGCCTGCTACATCATGTGTCCAATAAATGGCAGCTACTGTCCAAATAAATGGCTCTAAGGTCTCTGCATTTAGGTATAAAAGTATGCAACTATTATTCAACATACTCTTTGTCAGACATTTCTGAACACTGAGGAAAAAGAAGAAAAGAATATCTCGGGGCCGGCCCGGTGGCGCACTGGATAAGTGCGCCGCTTGGGAAGCGCGGCGGCGCTCCCGCCCGAGGGTTAGGATCCCACATACAGACCAGTTCCCGCTCACTGGCTGAGCGAGGCGTGGGAGCAACACCGAGGGTTGCAATCCCGTTGCTGGTCCCCGGTCCGGTACGGGGGCAACACTGAGGGTTGCGATCCGTTGCCGGACACGGAAAAAGACAAAAAACAAAAAAAAAAAAAAAAAGAATATCCAAGTGCATCATCTGGCCAAAAAAAAAAAAAACAGCAAAAAAGAAAATGTCCCTGCCTTCAAGAAAAGTCAATTACTTACACAAGAACAGACTTCGCAATAATATAATATAATACACACGTGCCGCCCAGTATTATAAGGCAAATTAATGAGAAAATGTCATAGACGTTTCCAACAGAATCTCTCCTGATCGTCTCTCCATTGGAGTCCTATTGCTTACTGTTTCGGTTCCAGGTTTCCCAATGTATATGTGAAAGTATCTTCCTCTCTTTTAAATTTCAAAACAGAGAAAGCTTATAGCTTTGTTATTGACTTCTAAGCAAATTACACTGTAGTCAGATAATAAGATCTGTATATGAAACAGATTCTTTATTGGGGCTTATTTTATGGCCTAGTACATAGACAATTTTTGTAAATGGTTCCTGCCTGCTTGAGAGTATGTGTCATCTTCTCAAGAAATCCAAAATACTGGATGCAAGATTCTGTATATATCCCCCCCAAAATCAAGCTTGTTAATAGTAGTATGTAAATCTTCTAAATTGTTACTAGTCAATTGTCATTTACCCTATGGATAATTAAGAGATAGCTATGTTGAATCTTCATTTCTTTTGTTAAATCCAGTAAGAGCCTTGTTTACACATAACAACTTTCATTACAAATAAGAGTACTGTCTTTATTGAGAAGGTTTCAGGCTAAATTTTGAGTACGAGAATGCTGTTATTTTTTGGTACGAATTCTCTAAAATACCTGAGAATTCTTATGTCAGATGATTCTAATACTTTTTCTAAAATACAGGAAGTATACTAACTTAATCTATACTTTCTAGTCTGATTCAAATGATTTTATGGTGATAAATTAGTAATACAAAAAAATCTACCTGAGAACCTTCAAATGTTCTATTTGACAATAAAAGAATAGTTTTACACCAGAAGATAGTTGCATATGAAATAGCACTGCCTGCATCCCCACTGCCCCCATCACCACCACCCACCAACCAGATGACCTCCACATAGTTCTCAGATGGAGTAATAGATTTGTCATTGACAACATAGACGAATCTACTCTATTCTTCCCTCGTACTTAATTGGAACACAAAATGAAAAGTTAAACATTTTCAGGAGCAATTGAGCCAATGCTAATAGGCTTGATACATCTGGGTCTGCCAGGAACATAACAAGGCAAACCAGAACAACAGACTCAGAATTTTTTTTAAAAAACGTTAACAACAATGTTCAAAGTAAATTACTAAACTTTTAATTTTTACAGGCAGTTCCAACAGGTTGAACCCCAAGAAGTTAAATAATCTCAAAAGTGATGTAGCATCAAAACACCTAATCTTTTGGGCCGGCCCGGTGGCGCACTGGATAGTGCGCTGCTTGGGAAGCGCGGCGGCGCTCCCGTCCGAGGGTTCGGATCCCACATACAGACCGGCTCCCGCTCACTGGCTGAGCGAGGCGCGGGAGCAACACCGAGGCTTGCGATCCCGTTGCCGGTCCCCGGTCCGGTACGGGGGCAACACTGAGGGTTGCGATCCGTTGCCGGACACGGAAAAAAGACAAAAGACAAAAGACAAAAAAAACCAAAAAAAAAAAAAACACCTAATCTTTTGCTTCCACCTAATCGTACCTGTTTAGTTTTAACAAACCTTATACTGCACTATGATTTAATGTAATCCAAAATCCCATTAAAACTTGCAGATAAGGGCCAGCCCGGTGGCACACTGGAGAGTGCACCACTTAGGAGCGCGGCGGCACTCCCGCCGAGGGTTCAGATCCCATGTGGAGACCGGTTCCCGCTCACTGGCTGAGCGCGGTGTGGGCACAACACCGAGGGTTGCGATCCCGTTGCCGTTCCCCGGTACGGGCGCGACACCGAGCGTTGCGATCCCGTTACCAGTCAGTAAAAAAGACAAAAAAAAGGGGGAAAAAAAAAAACTTGCAGATAAATTTTACATAAGAGTAAAATATTATGTATTATTTCTATCAGCACCTTGGATTTTTTTCCCTACCACTTACCTGAATCGCCACTGCTAGCAGGTGGGAGATCATCAAAAAGCAAAGGTCCCCCTGATCCTGAAACACAGCAGAACACTTAGTGAGCCCACAAAAAATGTATAAGGCTTAAGTTTCAGAATCCATCCCACCAGGACACCTATGTAGGTTATTGAAATAAACTCAAAACTCTCGCGTCAATCCAGTGGCAACTCATACTGCAGTGAATAATATCTTCAACCTATTTTAAAGTCCTATTATTTCAAAGGAAATAAAAATCTGCCTTAAAAAGTTAAATTTTATTTCAACTAGTAAAATAAATACTCAAATGAACCAGAGAAAACTGCTCAACGTTTTTACGCAGTACTTCTCAGGGCTGACGACTAGCAGATTTTTCTGCCTTACCTGATGCCATGGATTCAAAACTTAAGACAGTCCAACACCTAAAACATCTGTGTGTTGAAAACGGGGGAAAGGGAAAAAGTTTGAGACAACTACAATCCCAGGATGAGTAGAGACGTTGACACACACCTGGGAGAGCCTGAAGACTGTACCTGAGTCAGTACTGCTGGCCTGAGGGAGGTCATCAAAGAGCAGGGATCCTTTCTGAGCTTCTTTCCCTAAAACACAGAAAAACTGTTTAGAAAGCATGTGGTCCTGATCAAGGATGGATTGCCAAAGGAGAAGAAGACGGTGTGGTCCCCCCTGCTTTGAGACAAGTATGCTATTCTATTCACATTTTCTCTCTCCTGTTGGACAAAATTTATTTCTTAAAAATATTTTCTTGACAGCTATTTAATATAAACACTTGTTTACAATGGTTACAGTCAACATAAAAGCAAAGAATGATACCCCTAACAGGCATTCAAGAGCCACTGGGTATTTTGAGAAAAACAAATATTTTTCTTATTAATTTCTTTTTTTTTTTTTTTTAAAGATGACCGGTAAGGGGATCTTAACCCTTGACTTGGTGTTGTCAGCACCACGCTCACCCAGTGAGCTAACCGGCCATCCCTATATGGGATCCGAACCCGTGGCCTTAGTGTTATAAGCACTGCACTCTACCGAGTGAGCCACAGGCCGGCCCTTTCTTATTAATTTCATTATTAAAAAGCATCAACCATTTAAAATATCTTGCTTTAAAAGAGAATCCTCCTGTGAAGGAAAAAAACTGACTGTAAAACGAGAAAACAATACTTCTGTACCTCAAGATAGAACTTCAGAAATAAGGGGGCCCTTCAAAAATCTATAGGTTTTTAAAAATCCTATTTCAAAACATTCTAAATTAACCACTAGCTAAAATCTCAAATGAGCACAGACCTGGTGGTGAGAGCCTAAAGTGAAGAAAATCTGTCATAATTTGGTAGCCCTAGCACAGTGCCTGACTTAATAAATATCCATGAAGAAAATGAGTTTTAGATAACTGAAGACAGATGGCCTCAGGAGAAAGCCACAGAGACCTTTTTTTAATCTAAAAACCTGAAAATTTACATTTCAGAAGTACACATCTTAAATGATTTATGCCCAATTATCCCTTTCCACATAAAATTTAACCACTTTTCCTTACTCTCCAGCTTTTTCCAAAAATTCTATTTAAGCTACTAAATATATGAATTGGCACACAGGAATTTGGGAAAAAACACAGGGCTGAAGATAAAAACATGCATGTCCATCTCCTATGAAGTTCAATACACTGACCAAATATACAGGCTTTCTCCCACCTTTTGTTCCTCAGAGTTCAAGTATAAAAATGTACTCACTTAAAAACCATTTCACTCAAAATAAATTTATATCCTCCAAGAGGTTCATCTACATTGTCTTTTTGCCTCCATGTAGAAATGAACTGGGTAAAGTTTCCTTTTTTTACTGTCCAGGGATTGAACCCCAGACCTTGGTGTTTTCAACACCATGCTCTAACCAACTGAGCTAACTATCCAGCTTCAATCTCTCTTTTAAAAACTTAAATTTAGGGCCAGCCCGGTGGCGCACTGTAGTAGTGCGCCGCTTGGGAGCGCGGTGGCACTCCCGCCGAGGGTTCGGATCCCACATACAGACCGGTTCCCGCTCACTGGCTGAGCGAGGTGCGGGTGCGACACGGAGGGTTGCGATCGCGTTGCCGGTCCTGGTCCGGTACGGGCGTGACACTGAGGGTTGCAATCCGTTGCCGGACACGAAAAAAGACAAAAAAAGGGAAAAATAAATAAATAAATAAATAAATAAAAATAAAAACTTAAATTTAAATTTAAAAGCCCCAAGGAAGGAAATTTTTTTTTTCCTTTTTGTCTTTTTTCGTGACCGGTAACGGGATCGCAACCCTCGGTGTCGCGCCCTTACCGCGACCGGCAACGGGATCGCAACCCTCGGTGTCACGCCCGCACCGCGCTCAACCAGTGAGCGGACCGGTCTCTATATGGGATCTGAACCCTCGGTGGGAGCGCCGCCACACTCCCAAGCACCGCCGCGCTCCCAAGCACCGCACTCTACCAAGTGCGCCACCGGGCTGGCCCGGAAGGAAATTTTTTCAGGGGTCTTTAGATAAGAAGTACCTAAAATACAGAAGAAATCCCCGACTTAACAAAAAGTAATTCTTTTGCTTTATACCCCTACTGAGAATGGGAAAGTGTACTCTAATTCTTTAGGATTACCCTAAACAAATAATTGCAAAAACTTTCATTTTTCTCACAAGTGGCATATTCTATGGGAAGTATTCAAGAAGCAGCAGGACTTTAAAAGGTATTTAGGATAAACACTTACTCAATGTATTAACCCCCCTGTAAGAATCCCTGATATTATAGCAGGTCACTTCCAAGGGGAGCCCAAACTACTTTGGGCCTAACAATCAAAATGCCCATTCTCCTAACAGACTCAAAACCATATGGGATAATCCAGAAAAATCACATTGCATTCAGTGGGGAGGGAAGAAGCCAATTTGAAGAGAAACGAACCCCTCCACTTGTGCCAGGTCAGATTTTAACTTTTGAATAAACCCACCCAATTAAATCGGGTCTTCCTATTGCCACTGTCCAATGGCGGAAGTCTTCTTTTAGCCAGCTAATAAATTCTCAGTTCTTGCAAGCATTCCTCACAATACAATTTCCAGCTTAGTATTAGTCTGGCCTCTCCCCTTTGGGTACAACTCAGTCTAAGATAGTGCCCAAAACTGATAACCACCCCTCAGAGAATGGCCTATCTCCCTATCCTGCACAAAATGAGCCTATCACCTTTTTTCACTCTAGAATACTGGAAGAGGTACTTCAATTAAACACAGTAAGACCATCTTACATTTTGTTGGCCACAACTGAGAATGGCTTATAAAATAACTAATATTTACTGCCTTTCAGGCACTATTTTAAGGGCCCTGCATGTTTTAACTCATTTAATCCTTACAATAATCTTATGACATAAGTACTATTACTGTTGTTATCTACTGGTGAGGAAACTAAGGCACTGAGGCCAAATACCTGCCCAAGATCAGAGAGCCAGTGAAGAGTGGAGTGGGGATGCAAGCCTAAGCACTCTGGCTTCCCAGTCCATGCTCTTGGCGAGGTGCTACACCACCTCCACATGCGAGCACCATTCTAGGAACTTCACAAAGATCATCTCATTTTACCCTTACGACAATCCTACAATGACAATTCTGAGGCTTTATAAGATCTCTGGAATACTTTTTGTATCATCGAAAAGATCAAATTAATAAGTTTGCATCTGGATTCTTTAAAGAAAAAAAAATGTGTAGGTCATGGACACTATATAGACAGTCCCCAACTTCCAATGGTTTGAATTTAAGGTGGTGCAAAAGTGATGTACATTTGGTAGAAAATGAACTTAGCCCATACTATTCTGTTTTTCACTTTTAGTACACTATGCAATAAATGACAATATTCAACACTTTATTTAAAAACAGGCTTTGTGTTAGATGATTTTGCCCAACTGTAGGCTAATGTATGTGTTCTGAGCAAGTTTAAGGGAGTCAATGGCTACGTTATGATGTTCAGTAGGTTAAATATATTACATGCATTTTTGACTTAATGATATATTCAACTTAGGATGGACTTATCAGGACGTAACCCCATCAAAAGTTGAGGAGCATCTTTAAGGGAATTTCTTTTCTTTTTTTTTTTGTCTTTTTTTTTTTTTTTTTTTTTTTACTGACCGGTAACGGGATCGCAACCCTCGGTGTTGCGTCCGCACCGGGGACCGGTAACGGGATCGCAACCCTCGGTGTTGCGCCTGCACCGTGCTCAGCCAGTGAGCAGGAACCGGTCTCCACATGGGATCCGAACCCTCGGCGGGAGCGCCGCCACACTCCCAAGTGGCGCACTCTCCAGTGAGCCACCGGGCCGGCCCTAAGGGAATTTCTGATTAGGCAAAACCTTACATTCTGTTTTGGATAATAAATATTAAAAGTATTGGGAATTGCAATCACTGGACAAAGTTTAACTTTGACCCAAAACTTTGGAAGAGGTTCTCCAAGCTCTAATAAGAGCCCTAATACAGAATGAAATAAGAGTGAAAATGTTTTTTCATTATAGTTAATCTCCCTTAGAATTTTTTTTCCCAGTTATCTACATTCTAAAGCTAAGTCTATCTGAAGTAACACACTATGCTGAGAAAAACACTCTTGGGTTGATCACATTCAGGTTAGCTAAAGGTTGCTATGTATGATAAAGAAACAAAAAGAGCTTAAAATATTTTGCCTAAATCGTTTTTTATACCTGAAATTTCTTTTCAACTGCAAAAGCAATACAAATGTTTTCCAAATACCACAGAAATATTATGGGGGACAGGGGGCCCATAATGCTCTCCAAGCATAATAAGTTTGGCATATACTTTCCACTTTCCTTTACACTCATATACATATATATGTTCATTTTAATTTTTAAAAGGTAGAATCACACAATACTTCACAAATATGGTTGTTCACCAAACCTATCAGGGAATGCTCCAGGCCAACACACCTGACCTAAGTCATTCTCTCCAACAGTTACAGACTACTGTGTATGGGAAGTAACTCTACTCATTTGTCCAGTTCTCTTACTGACATTCAGGCTACTTCCAGTTTTTCACATGGATACACCACAATAAACAACCTTACACATATATCCTTACATAATCTGCCAGACTGCTGGTCCAAGGGTATGGGCAGTTTAATTCGGACAGCAGTCAAAATTTGTTCCCCAAAAAGCTCTTATAATTTCTACTCCCAACATACTTTATGAGAACGTCCATTTCTCAACACCCTCACCAATGTTACCAATTTTTGCCAATCTGATGGGTAG